AACACACACACACACAGAGAGAGAGAGAGAGAGAGAGAGAGAGAGAGAGAGAGAGAGAGAGAGAGAGAGAGAGTAAAAATCTCATCGCCGTATGGTCGCGTTTGTAATAATGTTTATTCATTTGCTTTCAGTCGTTAAACATAAATATAGGGAGGATTTACCAAAGGATTGCCAAAAGGATTTCGAAACTACGGTAATAAGCAAAGTTATTGGAAGAAAATTAGTTTGACAGAGAGATACGTTTTTAAGATAAAATCTCCCAAATGGTACATTATCCGATAACTATTAAATGGAACATCCAAGTATTACAATTGTTTAGTTTCAAACTAACTTCCCTTTTTCTAAGTAGTAAGTAATAAACAACTTGTTAAACAGGGAATCGCGTAACTTGTGATTTACAATCTTGAAGAGCGTAGATAAAGGTGATAACAAAAGTAGAGGATAGCGGCGATGTTACGTATAATATAATTTATTATCTCTGTACATATTGTCGTGTTGCAAATAATTACAGATTCACCTTGTCCATATCGGATCTCCTTCGAAGCTTATCGTTAAAAATAATTAATCGATGCTGCTACGATAATCGTATAAACGAGAGAAGACCGCGATTCTATCGCGTTACTTTTCACATTGATATTTACCGCTTCGATATTACTTTACCCGCCAAATTTGTCATCTATACGCGCATAGTCGCAACATTAAAATGCGCTAAACGATACAAAAGAATTCAACGATATCGAATGACACTCGACGTATCGTATACGGACATTATTGAATTCTTTTTCATCGTAATCGTTTCTATTTAACTACTGGCTTAAATGCGAACACATAATAAATACAAGTTACCTTTGTTTATCAGAAAGAACTATTCGCGACGAAAACATTTTAGTTGTCGAAGCTTTACGATCGGTACAATGAAACAATCGCTGCTAAGAGTACAGACACGAGAGAGATGCCAGCTGTATTTGCCAGATTACCAACCAAAACGACAGATGCTTTCGCAGGTATGGAGAAAGCGTTCAAGTCCACGTCAGTTCTGAAAAAATAGACGTTAAAACATTGTTGAAAATAGTCGGTAACCGCACACCTCGATGACTCGAGTGTTAGGCATACGTATGTGCATATTTTGATAGTACGTAAATAAATGGTCTAAAAAAAGTTCAAGGCAGAACGTGACTTAGAAATCTGTCGTATTTCAAAAATTAAGAATGCGGAAGGATTAGAAGTCAGGATTCGTTTATAAAATATAGAAACGTTTTACGAGTTTCACGAGATTATGTCGTATCGGCATATTCGCTGCGTCGACGTGCTACATCTCTCTACCGTAATATCTTTCCATTATAAACTATTTAATAGTTGAATATTGGATTTGAAGGTAAAAATCTATCTCGAACGAAAAGAACAAAAAAAAAAGATAAAACTTCATTCTGTTTACTTACCTTGGCACCTTTGAGATCGTGTCGCTTAATTTCACTTCAGACGGTTTCTTTTCCATTATGTCTACTAAATCGACGGTATAGTTCTTATCATTGCTGAAGTTTATCAACAGTGCAAGCACTTCGTTGTTATAGCGTCTTCTGACAACGAGTACGTTATCTTGCACTACACGCGTATCCACAGCACCGTATCGGAGAATTTCTGATTTTCGTAGTGTGGTTAAATTTTTATACATATTGTAGACGGAGTTAGAGTCATTCTTCTCCGCGGCCACGTTTAAAATCTTATAATTTTTGTGAACGGGGAGCCATGTCTTATTTCCCTTCGTGAAACCTATCGACGTAAAGCATAATGAAAAATTATTGAAACTATTCTTATGCATTCGACAAAAAGCAACGTGTAATCGAATGATCATATTATGAATTATAAAGTGCTCCGAGCTCCAGGCACGAGCTTGATAAACGTAGATTGCAAATCAAAATATTGTTAGTTCGACGAGATCAAAGATTTTTGAACGTCGCCTCTGCTCACCTGCGTATGCATCGCTGTTCCATTGCATCGGTGTTCGGCAACCGTCACGAAAATCACTAAACTCAAAGTCGGTATTGTCTACCATGCCTATTTCTTCGCCGTAGTACGTTACAGCTACGCCAGGTAAAATCATTTCCAGCATTATCATTTGATCTCCTCTTCCAGGATAACGAGACGATACGCGATTTCTGTCATGATTGCCCATCTAAGGAAACGATCGTATTTATGCCGATACGATTTACAGGATAAAAATGATGATGCGCAAAGTGAATTTTTGAAACGTAACAATCTCGATCGGTTTTCTATTCGATAAATATACTGTGATTCTCTGATTCTCGCTAGAAGTCTATTACAACGGATCGATATATCGGTTCTATCACGTTAGTTCGAACAAGTTTGAAACGTCTCATTTTTACATATCGTTCCTCGTGCTGTAGACGTACTATTATATGTATATAACTAGCGATTATTATATTAGAAAAGTGATCAAACGCAATTTCATTTGAAATTTCTTTCAATAAAAGAAATGAATGAAAAATGAAAACTAATTTCTAATTGTATCTTATTTCGTATCTCGAGCGATTTCTCCGATAAGTATTACACATACGTATAATAGATTCGTTGCGTGAAGTAAGCAATTGAATCTCTCTCGAACGTAACAATTTGTTCGATGCAAATTTACTTACCACCCAATTCGCTACATCGTCAGGCGGGATTCGACTTATCCAATTATCCGCAATGTTCTTAAAATTGGTGGCGCTGGAGTTGACGTTCGCGTCAGTTATGTACTTGAAATTGAACGGAACTTGAGACCCAAAATTATAATATTTGATCGTATTATCCAGACTGGTATACGCCTCTGTCATTAACACCTGCATTGTCAAACGAGCATCATCTTAATACGTATATTGTTTAATATGTATATATTAAAAATGCCATTCGTTTCTTCCAGCATTACGAAACGTTCAACTTTTGAGTGTAATTCTTTGCTAATATATGTTTGAAAGATATTAAAACGAGAGAGAAATGCAAGATTACAATTACAATTTTGACAAACTATCGAACAAGAGAAACCCCCTGAACCGCGTTCTCATCTCGAAAAGATTTCGGGAGAATTTTCCAATTCGTAATTCTCTTTTGTAAAGATTGATTCGGTTTAGCAAAGACACACGATCGAACACGAGACGTCTCGTTCATAGCTCTGATACGCGTGTCTCAAACGGACGACAGTAGCCACGTATATTTTTCAGCTTACGACTTCATCCCGGTTTTTCTTATTCGCATATTCGTCGACAAATTCTCGCCAGCTCTTTATCAAGTCATAAGTTTTTGGTTGATCCTTGGTCAGAGTATGATTATAAGAGGCGTGCAAAGTTTCGTTAAGATCATCAGAAAGTAATGGTTCGTTTTGATTTATATTGCTTTCATATATGTGGGGTACAGCATCGATACGGAATCCATCTAATCCCTTATCCAGCCAAAACTGCATTATTTCCTAGAACATGGTTAAATTTCATACATAACAGATCTATATGTTTATAATGTTATAACAAAATATACGTATGTCGTTTCATTTGGGAGTGTTAAAAAATTGGAATCCCGTAAAAAGCATCTATGTATACGTATAACTTTTACAATACGACCTTTTCTTAAATAGACATCTCGAGAACGGAGAACTTCTCTAGCAAGTAAAATTAAATGAAATTAAAAAATAAAGGTGTGCCTGTGTACCTTCATTTCGTTTTGTACAGCTGTATTATCGTAATTTAAGTCAGGTTGTTGCCAATAGAATTGATGATAATAATATTGCTTTCGTTGTTCATTGTATTTCCAAGCGGAACCATTGAATACGCTGACCCAATTATTAGGTATCTTATCCATCCAAATATAATAATCCTTATACGTTTTATTATTTTTCTCGCTTTCAACAAACCATTGATGTTTATCGGAAGTATGATTCGGAACGAGATCCAAAATAACCTGAAAACAAGAAAGAATATTATTCCTGTGCTTCGCGAGTTACATATGTATACTAATAGCGCGAATGATTTTGTTCGGTACACTTCTTACCTTTAAGCCGAGTGTTTTTGCCTCCTTCACAAGGTTCTCAAAATCTTGCAAAGTACCGAACGCTGGCTGTATGTCTCTGAAATCGCTTATGTCGTAACCATTATCCTTATCGGGACTTTTATTAATCGGTGACAGCCAAATTCCCGTTATGCCGATGTCTACGAAATGCTGTAATTTCTCCTGTATACCTGTTACAAATTTCATTTCTTTTAAATAAGTGAAAACAAATTATACTCACAGATAGTAAGTAATAATACATTTGAAACATCTAGGTAATATTCATTGTCAAGGTTGCGGCAAAATCTTAAAAATCTGTATCGTAGATCTGCTGAAAGTTTCATCGAGTATTAAGTAAAAATCTGAAGATTTCTTGCAGTTATCGGTCGAAAGTTATCGGAAAAACTGCGATTATCGCTATCTTTAATCGATAGTTTGTAGCTCGTAACAACGTTAATCGATCTCGATGAGATCCAGATTTCAACACGCATGCGAGTTACCGAGACTTATGAAACGCATTTTTCCTTTTTTCTTCCATTCTCGTTATAGACTCGTATAAAGAAGTTGAACAAATGTCATTTTTTTTTTTTTAAATAATTCAAGTTGCTTCGTTCAGTTTTATCAAAGTTACACACTCTTTTATTTCTTATATTTCTCTTTTTAATCTCTAATATTTCATCTTCTATTTAAAGATTATCATTTAAAAAAGTGTCCTGATATTTTTAGGACCGACCGTACACACGCATCCGATTGTAAGAAGCCGAATCTAAGTAAAAGTATCGGATTCAACGTGTACGCGTTCTTTCGTTACACGAGAGTCGACCATTTCAAGAACCAGCTACGTCTGTCGACGCAAACGATTATTCGTAAAATTAATCATCGATCATCGAAAAGAGATAGAAAATACACGACGCGTCGAATCAACAAAGACTTTCGATCGTTCTCAACTGTTCCGCTGTCTAGTTATATTCTGTAAATAATCGTGACAAACAACGTACGGTCAACTTGTTCCGAGAATCGGGAACAAGCAACAACGATCACATTCTTTCGACACATTGTATACAATAATACGTTATATCATCCGCATCGAAGAAAAGAAGCAGGATGTCGCGGTGGAGTAATTACGCGTTGTTAGACCATTAGCTTCGTCGCTTTTTCCACGTAATACCAACTTCGTCGCGCCTCTGCTAAATATCAGACTAAACATCGACTATGTATTTTTCTACATACGCGTATATAAATAAAATTGCATCGGAAGCTATTTCCATGTATGTAGGTATTTAATACAGATCTCGAGGGATAAGTTTCTTAGTCTTAATCGCGTTGCATAATTAAGACGAAGTTACTTTTCGACGTTTATCGTTCGATCCGACGAAACAGTCGATAAAATTGTGTATATAAAATTGTGAATAACGCAACACAAGTTGGACTTGTTCGCTCGTCTATCGCATACCGTGCAGATTAATAAAGGATACGATTGAAATGTACACAGTTTTCGATAAACTATTAAAACTATTGAAAATAAATTAATAATAATAAGCGAAATCTTTCGCGCGGTGAACCGAACAACTACTATGGCAAACGTTTCAATTTTTTATTCGAGACTTCTATAAATCGTGTAGTTGCCGTCGTTGCCGTCGTTGCCTCCTCCGAGGTCGCCCGCGAAAACCGTGAGACCGGAGATTCACGCTCGACGAAACGTTCCTCGACCTCCGGTGTGCACTTTAATTTCGTACCTTTTAAATCTCCGATGCCATCGCTGTTGGAATCCATGAAACTTTTCGGATATACTTGATAGAAAACTGCGTGTTGCCACCATCCCTTGTTCTTGATTTCGGCGGACGCTAGGACTAGCGCCGCAAAAAATACTATCGCGATGCAACCGGTGCTCTTCATGGTTCGTATTGTGCGAGATGGAATCACGCGGCTCGTTTATAAGCGGTGTTTCGCAGTAAAAAAGAATAGACACTCGCGTGTCCTTATCATTCGAGCGGAGAATAAGTTCGCGACGATGCTGACGCGCCATATTGTGCGAAATCTACTTTATGAAAAGTGTCGCAATTTCGAAGCGTATATCGCTGACGCGACAATACCGGTAGAGCACGGTACAATTGACAATTGACGGTGCACTACAATCGACTGTTTCATGTTACTTTATCAAACTCGCGTATTATAACAATAAGATTCGCAGAATATTAGATCAATGGAAAGGTAATGGATGCGTTATATAGTTTTTCACTTTTCAATTTTAGTTCGATCAAAAGAAACGCTTGAATTTGATGAAATAATGGCGGCGCGGTCAAGCTAAACGAAGAGTTGGGTCAAACTTGGACACGTTCCAGGCGACATTGTCGTTCCAATTCCATCGTTTGTTTATCCGTATCTTTTACAAACTCGGATCCGTAGCGATCCGAGAGGAACGTTAACGACGATCGGTGTCCGTCCGTGAACAAAATTCTACGAAAAAGTCTTTGGGAACGTGAACGAATAAAATTCGCAACTGCCGGCAACTGTATTGCTTCGCTGACACAGGAAATTCGTTGCGAACGTCCGAGATTCTGCAGCGATTACCACTTGTAATTGACAAGCGGATCGACGTGGCCATCGCGTGGCCATCGCGTGGCCATCGCGTGGCCATCGCGTGGCCGAAACAGCTCCCATCGATAGGCACACTCTTAAGGCCTTCGAGAGAAGTGAAAGGTTGTAATCGAATGCCGCGCGCGCGCGCATCGGTCCAGAATCGTATGTACCATGAATTTTCAAGCGATTCGCGGCGCGGCGCCCGGTCCTCTTTCAAATTTAGACGAACACGACATGAAACCAACAAATCGATTATTCCTTTTGTCTCTATATTACTTTCGTCTCTCTGTAAAATATTCGGGTCGATACGATCCGAAATGTATACTCGTAATTAATAGTGAACTTAATTGGTGGAGAGACTCGACCAAAATTGTCACTAGCTACAGCGACATCGTTTCGAAGAAAAAATTACTGTATCGCGTTATTATACATATTTGAGAAGCTTTCGATCCTTGCAAGAAGATACGTTCTTTTGGACAAACTGTGTATACAGGTCAAACAGCAAAATGACATATTTTTTAATACACATGTATTGCAAATAATAATACGAAGATCGGTAACATGGAACATCTGATTTCATAATTTTTTAAATGTTCGAACGTTTTGAAATTACAGTAAGATGATAATAGGGAAGTAAAAATCGATCGTGTTCGAAGAAGCGGTTGTCTAATATGTACACGTCGCTTGAAAAGTCTGAAAAGAACATTAAGAAACTGTAATTTTCAAATTCATTGTACCATTCCACGTTAGCTACACATCAATAATACGTAGCACGTGTACGATCGGACTTGCACTAGAATCTAAACGTGCTTCGGTCGTGGAAAATACAATGTACATATTTTTCCGATTACAGAAAAATATGATTTCGCGTCTACAAAATGTTCCATTTGTCCATTACGAGGAGAAACATATAAAAATGACTTTCTAGGTATTCGTACGTAAATTTTATATTATTTTGTTCCAATTGTTCTAAAAAAGATCGTAGCTTTCAACATAAACTTTCGGGATATCGCATTTTCGAATCTCTATTTTAATAAATACAAACTCGAGGAATAATATAAATTATTTTATTTTATTTTATTTTCATATACAAGCTTCCGAGTATGCGTGTCTCTCTGCATACGCATTTAGTTCTCGAGGAGATCGGTTCGGTTTTCATGTTCCATAAACAAATTCCACACCACTTGCACTTTTTATCAATGGCGCAATAAAAGCTATTAACTAGATTGCAATAAATTTGGCGATACGCAGAGGTTGGTTCTAAATGGGGTAAGAGCTTCGCGACGGTGCGATGCTTTCGTACAGTTGTTCGTGCTAATATTTGAGGAAAACCAGTATTCCATGCGGGGGCACGTTTACATTCCTGATGCGGCAGAAGGCGGACCTAGATTTGCGAAAGAAGAACAAAAGTTATTATTAAACATCTTTGTTCATATTATAATTGTGACATATTATGCGGTTTCGTAACTTTGATCGATCTAAATACGATTTCAAGAATAATAATCTCCGAATTACAAGCGAAATACAACGAGCGTTCTACCGAAAGAAACACGTATATACTTACCCTAACGTTAAATCAAAGTTAATCGTCGCATAGTACACGTTCAAACGGCACGATACGTTATCGAGCACCGATAAGTCGACAATTTCTTGCGAGTTACCGAGGTTTACTATTGCGTAAACAGACCCGTCCTCCGGAGTCTCCCTGCAAAAAGAATGCTCTATATCGTGTAGTATAGCGCCTGCATAGTTCTATATATGTATATATATATATATATATATATATATATATATATATATATATATA